GTTATTGTTGATGATTTTTCAAGACTTACGTGGGTGTATTTTCTCAGGTTAAAATCTGAAGTATCGCAAATCATGATTGACTTTATCAAGAAAATGGAAATCACCTTGAAAAAGCATGTTTGTAAAATAAAGAGTGATCATGGAACTGAATTCAATAATCAAGTTCTTGATTCATTTTTGGTGGAAAAAGGAATTTCGCATAATTTCTCATCTCCTTATACACCACAACAAAATGGTGTAGTTGAACGAAGAAATCAATCATTATGCGAAGCTGCTAGAACAAGCTGGCATATGCGAATCTTCCACAGTATCTTTGGGCTGAAGTAGTTTCTACTGCATGTTTTACTCAGAATCGATCTTTCATACATCGCCGATTTATCATAACTCCATATGAAATTCTCAATAATCGAAAACCTAATGTAAGATTTTTCCATGTTTTTGGATGTAGGTGCTTCATTATGAATCTGAAGGATCAAGTTTTGAAGTTTCAGCCAAAAGCAGATGAATGCATTTTTCTTTGATATTCACACAACTGTGTTGCCTATCGTGTATTAAACAAGAGAACACGAAAAGTGGAAGAAACTTTCAATCTTACATTCGATGATTATTACATCAAACAAAATGCACAAATATTTGTAAATCAACCAATCTTACAAGAAACACAAGTTGAAACTGAATCTTTACACATGGATGATATAGATTATGATTTGATTTTTGGTGTTTCAGATAATGCTATTAATGCTGAAATAAATGCCAACGATAATCACATTCCTGATGTTTCAAAGCTTTTTGATGACTCAACATCTATTCCACAAGAAAATAATAAGAATTTTCTAATGATCAAGTGGAGGGGGAGCACTTGGATTCGAATACTCTAGTTGAGGGGGAGCATTTTGTTGAGGAGGAGCATTTTGTTGAGGAGGAGCATATTGTTGAGGGGGAGCCACTTGCGAATAATGAAAATTTTCATGATGTTGATGATGTTTGTTCTATTGTTGGATCAAAAAATGAAGAGATATACGAAGATGCACCTTTTGATTTTAATCCAGCTTATCCTCCAATGGATAAATGGACAAGACATCATCCGAAGAATCAAATCATTGGAAATCCACAAGACGGTGTTTTGACAAGATCACAACTTCATGCAAAGAATGAGGTCTTAAATACCCATAAAGAGATGTGTATGTTTAATGTTTTTATTTCTAAAGTCGAACTAAAGACATTCAAGGTTGCATTGGAACACTCTGATTGGGTTGTTGCTATGCAACCTGAATTGTCGGAATTTGAAAGAAACAAGGTTTGGAGATTAATTTCTAAACCTGAAAATGTTTCAATTGTCGGATTAAAATGGATTTTTAAAAATAAAACCGACAAAGAAGGAAATATTATTCGAAACAAAGCCAGGCTTGTTGTAAAATATTATTCGAAACAAAGCCCCTGTTGCAAGACTCGATGCGGTTCGTATCTTTTTGGCTTATACAGCTCACAAAGATTTTGATGTTTATCAAATGGATGTCAAATGTGCTTTCTTAAATGGCGAACTTGAAGAAACTGTTTATGTGGAACAACCCCCAGGTTTTATTAACGAAGAGCATCCTGATCATGTTTATATTTTAGATAAGGCTGTTTATGGGTTAAAACAAGCACCAAGAACATGAAATCGAAGATTTAATGAAGAGTAAATTCGAAATGAGCATGATGGGTATCAATCAAATCCGAGAGAACAACATCTCATTGCTGTAAAGAATATATTTCGTTATCTTAAAGGCACAACTTCGTTAGGATTATGGTATCCTTCGAAAACAGGATTCTTTATTCAAGCATATTGAGATGCCGATCTGGGAGGTTGTAATCTTGATCGAAAAAGCACAAGTGGTGGTTGTCAATTACTAGATGGAAAGTTGGTTAGCTGGAAATCAAAGAAAGAAACATGTGTTTCAATTTCTACTGCTGAAGCTGAATATGTTGCAGCTGCTGCTTGCACATCACAAATAATTTGGATTCAAAGTCAATTAAGAGATTATACAATTAATATGAAAAAGATTCCATTATATTGTGATTCACAAAGTGTAATTAGAATTTTTCATAATCCCGTGCAACATTCGAAGACTAAACACATTGCTCTTCGTTATCATTTTATAAAAGATCATGTGGAGGAAGGTAATATTGAAGTCCATTTTGTGAAAACAACGGATCATCCTGCTGATATTTTCACAAAAGCTTTGGATGAAAAATCATTTGTTCGCATTTTGATGGGAATGATTAATGGAAACTCTCTTTTACACAAAAGCGAAAGATGATGGTTATTCAGAAATCGTTCAGAGGTGTTTAATACAATTCAAGGCATATTCATTCAACGTTCAGCGGTTACTGTTAACGGTCAACTCTTCGTATGCTTCGTATTCGTACGTTTGCCACTTTAGAGAAGATTTAACGTTTAGCAGTTACTGTTCATAGTCAACTCTTCGTACGCTTTGTATTTGTCCGTTTGTCATTTGGGAGGACATACAAACTCTTCGTGTGTTTGCACTCAGTATCCTTTATATTTTTGTGTTGTTTTGTTATTTTTGAAAATTCAAAAATATCAAAAATATTTTACATTTGTTTTGTTCTTTTCTTTTAAAATAAAAAAAATTGTGTTGTATTTTCGAAAAATCAAAAACTCAAAAAGATTTTTTTCTTTGTTGTGTTCTTTATTTTTGAAAAATTAAAAACAACAAAAATATTTTATTTCAAAATTTTTTTGGTATTGTGATGCAGATCTTCATAATTACACGAAGACTTCTTTGTTTGCTTTTCTAGGTTCAGGTATATCACGTTCTTTCGAATCTTTAAATATTAATTATTCAGAACTAGTTAAGATGTCCGTAGAAGCATGTTGTTGTATGTTGACTTAAGCCTCCAATGATTCTATGTGTATAAAAGAAAGCCTTAATGAAATTTTCATACAAAGATTTCTTCCCAATCAGGCTTGTATTCACATTAGTCTCCTGAGCTACCTGACTCTTCTTATGTGAGTTAAGAGTTTTTTGTTTTGTCCAAATATAACAGAGGTACACTTCGTTTCTTACATCAATATTTTTTCAACAAAAATTCTATCACACTCAAATATGAAGGGATATGTCCTTGTGTTCATTGATAAAACCAATCAAAACTTAGACATATCAAACTCTATGTTTACGATCTAACATCATGAGACCGTGATTAATATGAAACTCACAAATCTATCCACTTAATGAATTGACGGGGAACTATGTTCCATATTTTACGAAACTTTTGTTTCAGTACCTCTTTTCTAAACTCCAAATCATATTTATTTTTTATGCGTGGTCTTGATCAAACATTCAAACATCATGATGTTGGTTACCCAACAAGATCCAATAAACTTTTTTCATGAATATGATTTCCGTGTGAGTTTAATTAGCAAATTCCTGTTACTTTAAAATTATTCAATACCAACTTGTCACTGACTACACTGGTCAAACAAGTAATTTCTGGTACAATTGATCACCTTATGTTTAGGTTGATATGTAACGAAATTTTCGAAGCCACCTATGAGGCCTTAAAAAAGATACCATTCGAAACTTTTCAACAAGTTATCGATTGTATTTCACGGGAAACCACACAAGCTGTTGATTATCTCTCTTGATAATTAATGAAGTAATCTTTGCCCGGGATTCAACTGCCTTTGTGTCAAATAAAATTTTGACATCACAGAATTCCAATTTTTTTTAATTTGTTTCTTGTCTAACTTTCTTTGGAACACTACACTCACGAAATTTTTTAGGATCTGAGTAATACCAGCTCAGGCTGATGATTTCAAACATCTGGCATATGACTTCGATTTTCATCCCAAAAGTGAAAGAGCTTAACCTCAATCCGAAGGTATTCGACGGTTACAATTCTCTTGGGGCAAACAAACAGGCTGTATTTCAATGACGTATCATATCGTATCCTACTTTTATGGAGATGGGACATTTACTTTTTGACACATGGCTATTTCTACGGAGTAGTGGTTCGATTTTCAAGGTGCCATGTCAGCATTCATTAAATGCCATCCCACTTTTAATTCAAATGGAAGGGTTACATATAAAAACGGGGGGGGGGGGGGGGGGGGGTCATGAGTCTTTTGTCACTTCACGATTCTAAAAGAAAATTCCTAATTCTCTCTGCAAATTCAAACTCTCAAAACCCTAACAATGGCGACTGCTAATGTTCATGTTGATCATTCACAAAATACCGATGAATTCACTTCCATACCCATTATGAAGATCCAGGGTACTAACTATCAAGTTGAAGGTGATGTATCAAAGTATCCTGATGAATTGAAGATGATGGTGAATGCCTTGAAAAGTTTAGTATTATCCACGATGATGTTCAACTCCTTTTCCGTACCAATCTCTTGGTTGTCTCAGGCAGGTTCATCTGCTTCTGTTGCTAAGGCGTTTGATGCAATTGTGTTTCACCTCATCAATGATAAAAAGGTCAAAGTCACCAAGAAACTCTTTTGTCAAATTCTGGATATCCCCAATACTCCACCATTTTAGGAATTTACTTATCCTCAAATTGTTCATATTTTCAATGAGATGGGACATCAGCCTCAGTTATCAAGAATTAGTGATTTCAAGAAGTCAAGTCTTCCTAGTATGTGGAATTTTTTGTTTGGTATCTTCCTAAGATGCATAACAGGACAAACAGTGGGTCTTGATAAAGGATAAATGGAAGTATATGCCATGGTTACAGGGCTATACTACGACTTACCGGTAGATTACGGTTTGCAATTATGGGCAGAATTTCAGAAAAGTGTTGAAAATACAGATGCAAAGCATGGAATTTCGTTTGCAAGATACTGGAGCTTGATCTTGCAATATTTTTACAACAAGGAAGGTATTTTGGTCTCTAATGATGATGAGAAGGCTACTTTTCATGTATATGCTATTCCGAAGGATGTAGTTGATGATGTGGATATATTTCCGAAAGTTGCAAGAATTCCTGATGCAATGCTGAAGAAGGTTGATCCTACTAATTCTGTGTTTTTGGCATACAAAAAAACAATAGATACCATAGTTTCATCTTATATTCTATTGGAAAAGGAGAAGAAGAAAACAAGGAGAGGAAAGAAAGATGAATCTGGTTCTTCTAAGGAACCGGTCAAGAAAACGAAGAGACAAAAATCTCCTAAAAAGAAATCTGCAGATGTTGATGACTCTATTCCACAAGATGTCTCAGTTGCTGATAATACAATGGTTGATTCTCCTATAATTGAAAAAACTCAGGAGAAAGAAACTATCCCTTCGAAAACTTGATTTTTTCGAAGACTTAAGGTGAAATCTAAAAATTCGAGAAAAGTTTCACCTCATGTTGTTCGTAAATCACATGTCACACATCAAGGGGTTATTATCAGGGAGGTTCCAGTGCCTGTTTCTCCATCTTCGAAGAAACGATGGGCTGAAAACATGGCAAAGCATTTACAACAGAAGAAATCCAGGAAGTTACAAAAGTTGATTCTTGGAAATATTTCAACAGATGAAGAAGAAGTCATTCCTGACACTCCAGAAGCAATTTTGGTTAGTGAAAATTTGAAGGATGATGACATCAATGTAAACATATCTAATACGGATACAAATGTCATTATGGGTTCAGATAATGCGAAGCCTGATGATTCTGAAAATGCAAAGATTGAGAGTCCAAAAACTGCGAAGGGTGATGATCAAGGTATTGTTATTCCGACTTCTGAAATCATTGTGTCGTTACCTCCAATTACCTCTAACACTGATTCACCTACTTTCGAAAACATCATCAATACCGCTTTTACTTCACTCTTTTCATCTCAATCCACTGATCCACCAAAAACAACCTCACCTGTTGATGAAACAATGGAAAATGAAACTGATACTAAAGGTTTTGCAGGAACCTCTGAAGCATTACAGTTTGATAACACAAAAGAAGAGTTTCCAGATGACATATTGATGACCATGCAGCAATTCAAAATTCTAAATTCAAAGTTGAATTCGATTTTGCAAACTCAGGCTGATATAGGGGGTGGTTCATCCGTTTCAATTTTGGAGGTGGATTCTATGTTGAAAGTCTTTGAAGGACGTGTTACAACCAAAGTTTTTGGGATGATAAAGGAATCTGAAGCAAGGGTGTTGGAGAAAGTTGATTTTAATGATCAAACAAATGATAATAGAATGAGTTCTCAAAGAAAGGATTTCTTACACGAAGTGAAGGACTTGAAAGCTATCACGGGAGAAAGGCATGTTTTGTATGTTCAAGAAGTAAAGAAAGTTCGTGAAGATGTTAATCTACAAATTGAAGAACTTCGGGAAGATATGCAGAAGGAAGTTCAGGTTGTACAACTAGATTATGCGTCCATCAATCAAAAAGTTGACATTATCTGTAATGCTGTCACTAGATTTGTAAAGCTATATGAAACATTGAATCCTCAGGTCATCAATCTTTATGAACAGACTGCAAAACATTTTGATGAACTGGTTACTTTGCTAAAGGAACTGAAGGAGTTATTAGTCAAACCAATTTCATCCTCTCTCATTACTCCGAAATTTTTATCCTAGAAATTTTTGCAATTGGAAGCAATCGTGCACAAACAATTATCACCTCTTGTTCGCATATCCAGCCTTCTTCCAGCTATATCAGATGCCCCACCTGCTTTCACAGGGGTGCAAGGGGGAGAAAAGAAGATAGAATTTACAAAGGCTGGGGAAAATATCAAAGAAAGCCAAGAAATCAAGACTGATGCGAAGGTGGTGGGAAAGGTATTTCTTTCGAAAGTTTCTACTACAAAGCCAATAATAGTTTCAGCTGGTCAAGTTACTTCGACTGTGATTACTACAACCCCAATGACAAGACCACTTTTGAAAGGTGTTGTTATTGGTGAATCAACTGGTAGTGCTTCAAAATCGAAGACTATGATAACTAAGACAGCTTCGAAAGATAGACGTAAAGGGATCTTGGTAGAAAAGACCAAAGAAGAAAGTAAAGCTGAAATTGATGATGAATTAGAAAAGATGAGACAACTTCAGAGCATTATGGCTATTAGTGCTCAAGATCCATCAAAGCATGACAAAGGAGATCCATCAAAGCAGTACAATTATGAAACAATTGAAGCCAGAGTTATGTTTGATCACATATACTCATTTGAGAAGATTCCAAAGAAAAGCCACGTGGTCACTAATTCTGATTCAAGTCAGCTGGATTTTCCTATGAATGATATGATATTCATCATGTCTCAATTTAAAGCAGAGGTTAAGTGTAAAGATGCTGATAAAGGGAAAAAGTTAAAAATTCGTTTTCATGCAGTATTAGGAAAAGCACCTGAAGAGGTCTGGTCACTGGAGAAAATAAAGAAAGTTATCAGTATCAAAAGAGATGTAGTTTTTGAAGAAGTTATTCAGAATATCAGATACACGGTGATCAGATCAAGTGGAAAAGTGTGTCACTTTTACCATAGCAGATTTTCCATTGATGAATTTGTATGATCTTATACAAATTGCTTTGTTGCTAAAGGGCAAGTCATTTTCCTATCTTCAAGAAACAGAACTGGATGTTTTCAAACTTGGATGCCGACACATCAAAGTTTTCATTGAAAACTATTTTGAGTGCCTTGCTCAAACCGATGTGGAGTTGGCAACGGCAAAAGGAATAGAGATTACTACACCAATGGCACCCACGAAGAAATAAGTAGATCTGTAGAAATTTGAAGATGGTGAAATCTGCTTAAAGCCATTAGGAATTGTCTTCGCAGGAAAAGACAAGGCAGGAAGGGCTAAAAGATTTTTATTCCAAACTTGCGAAGTGGAGAGATACAACACTTCTCAATATACGAATTTAATTGTTCGTATGAACCACTACAGAAAGAACAACGAGGGAGATAAGAAGGAGATTAAGAAGGTTATTTCATGGTATACAGAGATACGAAGGGTTATGATGTATTCAATCCAACTACTGACCAACTGAAGACTTCGACTTTGATTACAAAGGGGGAGATTGTAAGAGTAAAATTGTTGTAATAAGTCGAAGAGTGTAGGTTGTCATACGAAGGGTTTCATGTCTTCGTATGTTTACTGTCTTCGTATGTTATGTATTTGTTTTACTAAGGCAATGTATTAAGTGCGCTTCACACTTAGTCCTTAGTATATATTTTATATGCTTTGTTCTCCTATAAATAGGAGTCTTTACTAGAGGAGTAGATAACGTTTTTACAGATTTTGTCTAAGAATTCTCTGTAAACATAAAGCATAATATTGAGCTGAAAACAGATTTTATTTACATCCTTGTGCAAATCTCTCATACTTTCATACATTCATACTCTGATTAATTTCATTCTCGAATTCACGATTCATCACTAGGTACTCTAAAATCACAAAATTTAGGATTAGGTATCATCTGTACCGAATCTAGTACTGAAAACCAGTGCCTTTTTCGCTACCAGTACCAGTAATGTTAGTTCGGTTCAATACTCAATATCGTTTTTACACACATATATGTATTCATGATTCTCGAATTGTTATCGATTTTGCCTCATTCTTAGCTATTCTTGAATTCTCGTTCTTGTTCCAATTTGTGAAAAGGTGAGCCTTATTTTTTCATTATATATATATATATATATATATATATATATATATATATATATATATATACATATATATATATATATATATAGAGAAAAAAAACAAGAGAGAGAGAGTTAGGTTCATATGTAACATGTAAATATTGTGTAATCGTATGACTAATTCTGAACCAATCAACATCCAAGGACAAAACTGTCATATTGTATAATTTCTATTAAACAATTTATTAAATAACCTTAATTGTAATCCTATAATTAAGGAATTTAACACATATCACGTTGAGCCCTAGGGTTTATTTGCTTTCCTTTTTTTCTTTCATACGTTGATGACATGACAAGCATAGAAGGTTGAAGCGCACATTATATAATGACTGTCGACTGGAAACATACACCTAACGACCTAATTCCAGCGCACCTCCTTCGTTTATCTACACGGTGGTTGTTGGGAGTACATACCTCATCCATGCTCCATCTTCTTCAATCCGCCCAATCTTATTCACTCTACTGGTAATCTAATCCCTTTGCCATCTACACCATTCAATCCCTATCAGATTGTTATTCTTAGTTCCGATTCTTTGATTCTTTTGGAATTGTGAAATCATGATTATAGTTTACTAGTTCTGTTTATGAAAGTATTTTGAAGTTGTGATTATAGTTTACTGGTTTATTTTAGAATTGTGATTTATTGTTTACCAATTAAGTGACTATTGAAAAATGGAGTTGTGATTTAGCTTTTACTAGTTTAGTTATATAGTGTTTAAAGGTATATTTTTTAATTTCATTTTAATGAATTTGATGACATTCCTACAAAATAATGAAATACGTTGAACTTCGTGTATTTCTCTTGACATTCTTAATAAATCTAATAACATTCATATTGAATATGTTGAATTTCTTATAATTTCATCCATCTTGAGGGGTGTCGCAAATAGTAGGGTACTAAGAACCAATGCTTGTACACAACACATATTCTTGAAGAACAACATAACTATAGATTAGATTTCCTGTTTTGACATTTTATGCATGTTCTATAGACTGTGAAACATGAAATATATGGAGTAGTCGCTAAATGTATAATTGGCTTTTTGGTTTTGTTATATTTCTTACTCTTTACGATTGGTGTTTTGTTATCATGAGAATTGATGATTCATTCTATAGGTTGGAGATGATACACCGTTAATGTGTTGAGTTACCTATTATCCCAACTTGAAGAATTTTGGCATGCAGATAAAACTTTCTCTACAATGAAGTGGAGATTTATAAATGGATCTGTAATCAATCATATTTGAAGGAATTTAGTCATGTACGATACTATATTAGCCCTTGGGCACTCTATTCTAAATGAAAAGGCCTTCCAAGATAAGTCATTGCAACAATTTACAAAATTTGAGCTTCTTTCATCTTCTAGATTTGATGGTTCCGCCATAAAATCATATATGTTCTTAATGTAGTTGATTAAGAGAATCTTGAAGTTTTTGAGAATTCTTTAATAATTCTTTTAGAATGGATTAGACTTATACTCAATTGTAGAAGAACAAAATGTTTTTATTCTTTAAGAATTCTTTTGGAATGGATTAGACATGTACTTGGGGAAGAACAAAATGTATTTTATTTTTTAAGAATTCTTTCATAATGAATTAGACATATACTCGTTTGCCGAAGAACACAATGTTTTTTACTCTTTAAAAATGTTCTCTATTCTTTAAGAATGTAATTAATTTCATTCTCATATAATATTATAAGAATGTTTATTATTTTTAAGAATTCCAAGATATAATTTAGCTAGTATCCAAGTATTTTAACCTATATTTTAAAAGAATGCAAACACACATAGCTAGCAATTACATAATTTTCTTATTAGAAAGTGATTTCAAAATATTTAACAAGCAACGTATTCTTAAATAATTTATTTTAACTGCAAATTAAAAGAAGGGTAAATTACACGAATCGTCCCTCGTCCAGGTGCCAAAAGGCATGTTCAGTCCCTATTTTAAAAAATTAACTCGGATCGTCCCTCGTTAGTTTTAAACTTACACGCTTCATCCCTCCGGATATAAAAAGACCATTTTACCCTTATTTATTTCCTTTTTGATTTATTTTTTTTAATTATTTGTTATTTATTAATTATATGTTGATTTATTTATTATAAAATAATTATTATTTCCTTTTAAAAAAAGAAATAGCCACTAAATACGTTGATAACTCGTCTGGTTGCCCCCTCGCCCCTTTTCTTCTTCAGTGCATCTCCTCTCCTATCTACAGTTAACACCCCACCGGCGACTTTTGCAACATCTCCAACCGACTCCATTATTCCGATCGTGAACCAACCAAATCAAAACCACCACTAATCGCCTCCCAAAAAAACCCTATATTTTTTCGTTCGATAAACCTAGCAGCAACTACCAATCGACATAGCTGATTTCTTCAGAATTCCAATCGGGGGTGTTGCAGATCCAGAAGGTGACAAGGTGTAGAAGGCGACAAGGTGTAGTACCTGAGTGAGGGTTTTCTTGAAGCACGTTGGGGACAACATCAGTGTTATGATGGTTCGATTTCAACACATTCACCTCCGCTGAACAATACCTCTCCCCGTCTTCTTCTTTGATACTTTGAATCTAAAGCTCTGGTGCCGATTTTCATTTCCAATCTCATCTTTTTGAAGCTTAAGTTATAGGGTTCATTTTTGAAAGTGAAAACAAAAAGTTCTTGCTGGAGGTAAACGGTGGTTCTTTAAGGAGATCTGGACCGGAGAAGAATGGTAGCGATGACGGCCTAGAGGTTACCGACGACCGGTGAAGGAGGTGGTGGTGACGGTGCTGGGTTTCATGAAGGTGAAGGCTTGAAGAGTTAGCACTCACATCAGAGAAAAGAAAGGAGATATAGGGAGAAAGAAGGGGTTGTGGTCCATTGATGGCGGTAAGCGGTGATATGGTGTCGGAGGTAGTCGTCGGTGGTGGTGGTTCGGTAGGTGGCGGTGAGGATGTTTCATGATGAGAGGAAGAGGAAAAGGGTGATAGATATAGGAGTTGTAATTTCTATTTTCTATATATAAAATGAATTATAAATAAATTAAAATAGAATAGTAAGGGTAGTATAGTCATTTTAAATATGGTAAGGGATGAAGTGTGTAAATTTAATCCAACGAAGGATCAAGCGTGCAAGTTTAAAACATCCAAGGGACGGTCCGAGTTAATTTTTAAAAATAGGGATTAAACGTGCACTTTGGCACATGCACGAGGGACGATTCGTGTAATTTACTCTTAAAAGAATGATAAAATGAATAAGAATGGGTAATTTAAAAAATAAAAATAAAACAATTGCTATTACAATTAGTGGAAATCATGCATAATCCAATCCCAACAAAATCTAAAATCTCCTTAATATTTGCATTTTCTATATTTTATGGTAAACAATTTGATTAGTTTACCCTTATGGCTGTTTAAAAATAAAATATTATTAATCTTTTTAAAATTATGTACCATAATGTTATCCTCCATTTTAACTATTCATTATTTAGATCTAATGTACATAAAATAAGAAAATGTATTTTTCATGGTAAAAGTACCTATAAATAATGAAACCACATTAACAAAACACAAAAGTTTCAATAATTGTTTTTACTAGGTTTGTTTGTTTTAGAAAATTAACCACAAGAACCAACCGTCGTAATTTTTGTTGTTTTAATTGACGGCAAACATCATAGCGGTTTTTTACGCATTGAAAATCAATAATTTAGGTTTTCTTGGAATGTTTCCGAACATATACTTTGTTTGAATCACATTACCCCACCACAACAGTAAACTAACGTCCCATCAAACGTTCAAAACGATGTTATATATTATACGTAATGTGTTACATTCGTACTCAACAAGTAAACAGCTATGCAAGTTTTAGCCATTTTGTTTCTTATTATATTACTATATATAACTTTTTGGTTACATGATCTGATGAGGAAATTGACGGCGGGGGTGGCGGTAGTAAACCCTAAACCCCACCCCAGCTAACCCACGTTCGGCAGACAAGCTTTCTCCTTCACTGTTCCAGAAAATGCTGGTTTCACAGGTCACCATTGGGTCCCCTCCGGTGGTTGCCAGTTGTGTGAAAGCCCCAACCCTCCAATCATTCAATGCCAACCTAACTCTTCTATTCTCTCTTCACTCAGATAATCACAAACAAATATCTCCGGTTGCAAGTGTGCTGGCATCTCAATCACCATCTTCATACTTTCCCACTATATTTAAATATAATAACTCTTTTATGAATCTCATGATTGATTCAAAAGACTCTATTATTAATTTGGTGAGTTGGTTATAGTTGTAATAATAGCGGAATGTTGGGGTAGGAAAGGAAAAAGAAATAAGTGCATAATGTTGTGGAGAAAGCCCTTATAACACACTAGTCACTCCGCTTTTTCTTGTTCATCTACAATTAGAACGTAACGCACTTGCAGGGTTTCTTTCTAATTAAGGTATACTTTTTTCTTTCTTTTTTGGTTAAACAGAATGTTATTAATGGATGTTTATGTTTATTTACAGCCAAACAATTAAAATTGTGTAGGTTGAGTTTGAGATTTTTAGTATTGAAACTTGAAAGATGGGCTACTGGAAATCGACAGTCGTTCCGAAGTTTAAGAAGATCTTCGAGAAGAACACCACCAAGAAGACAGCTGCTATCGAAGCTTGCAAGTCCTTTGATGACGCTAAGGTCTCTATTATATCATTATATATAGAACTGATTAATCGTATTCGTTTCTTCATTTATTTAGTTATTGGTTTCTTGATTAATTTCTTTGACTTACGATATTTATATGCATGCATGTCCACACAGGAGGAGTACAGCAAAGAGTTTGAAGAGAAGAAAACCGAGCTCCAAACTAAAGTAATAGAGATCTATGAAGCTTCTGCAACTGAAATCAAGGTTCCTGATCACTCCCTTCCACCACCTGCTTGAACTTTTATTAATTCGTGTTTACGTTTCAAGATGTGAGTTGGAGTTGTTTTAGAAATATGTAGGATATATATAAAAGTATTTGTTATGTGAATACAGGCTTTGGTGAAGGAACCTAAAGATGCGTCTTTAAAAAAGAACTCCACCGGAGTTACCAAGTTTCTTGAAGAACTATCCAAGATAGGTACGTATATAGTACATGTCACTCAAGTTTACGTACGCTCGTGGGATTGAATTAAATCATTAAAGTTGAGTTTAATTACATGCACAGAATTTCCGGGGTCGAAACCAGCACATGAAGCGTGTTCCAAGTTCGGACCAACGTTGGTTCAGGGACCTATTTTCTTTGTATTCGAGAAGGTGTCGACGTTTATTGTGGTAGAAGAGAAGGAAACAACGAGCAGTAAAGACAAAGACGTGGCGGTGGAGGAAGAGAAGAAAGAGGAGGTGGCGGTGGAGACTGAGGCAAAGGCGGCGGAAGAGGTGGCAGCCCCGGCGGAGCCATCAAAGGATTGCTGATCGAGATGACATGATCAATTTATAATATGTACGAAGAAGCTGGCAACAATTTGATAAACCTGTTATTGTTTTTGTATTCGTTTAATTTTTTAAAATTACACTTTTGTAGCCCAAGTACTTGTATTCCTATGGTATTTTACAGTTTTTGGTGTATTTATATATATATATATATATATATATATATATATATATATATATATATATATATATATATATATATCACTTATTATTCATTATTATTATTATTATTATTATTTTTTATGGTTTTGATCAGATTGGTGTCATGGATTTTCATAATGTTTTACAACATCTTCTTAGTCTTCATTTGCCATTAATTATGACCATTGCCACCGTGACAACACATCATTTGTTTGTTATAGACATTGTGTTATGTAAATGGACATCTTTTGTAATTTTAAAAATCTATATATGAGACAAAAACTTAATTAGTATTGAATGATTATATAGCCTAAGTAATTTTAAGTTTCTGAATGAATTTGTTACCAAAAAAAAATCGACAAACACTTCATAAATAAAACAAAATAGGTTATGAAAAAGATGAATTTAGTAGATGAATGTACATGATTATCCATAGAGAGAATAATTAATCTCCATTTAAGGTGTATTTGTATGTGTAAGTTGGCACATGTAGGTTACAGTAGTTTGCTCATGTACAACACTTGGAGGAAGTATGTCAAGCAGTTAATATATCAACATTGTGTGACAGTTGGGTATGAAACTCAGGTAGAAATATTGAATTCATTGTTTTGAAAGTTCGAAAGTGTATTGATTGTCGGATGGTGTGGTGTCTATAATATGGAGTACATATCTTCCTAAAAAAGTGAATAAAGCGAATCAATGTAGATGATAAAGGTATTGACATATGGAATTGTATAGGTTAAAAAGACATATAGAAGAAATTTTGCACCTTATTATCTCTTGCCAAATACTGGTCGAATTATGACAATATTTTGGAAATTGATGTGGTTTTAATGTCCATGATTTCAGTCAAATTGAAGATGATTCAATAGGTGGATTCGATGCAACTACCAACACAAAACGATTGGCATTAGAATCAATTGTTATGGGAATGTGGTGGTTATATGGATTTTTAGGAATAGTGTTCTTTTTAGTTGTCAAAATATTTGGAAAAATTTGTTGGTTGATAGATTAACAGACTATTATAAATGGATTGTTGATAGCATGGCTTATAAATCCAATTTTATCTATTCCATTGTAATTATTGTTAGCCGATTGCTAATATTCTTAATAAAAAATTCAGCTATTCAGGAAGAAAAAAAAAGCTAAAAACTTTATAAAGTTATTAATTTAATTTTAGTTTTTAGATTATAATATTTTTATTTAATGTTAAAAGCTCATATGCAATAAAAAAAGGAGGCCGAATACATCTTTTATAATTGTGATATTTATTTAGTTTTCTGAAACAAATTTTAAATGGGTCGAAACCATATTTTATATTTAAACAATATATAGAAAAAGGCAAAAATTTTGTAATTAATTTCTAGAAATATAAAACAAAATTAAATATTTTATAATTTCTTGTTTCTATATTTATAGAAAAAGTAAATATCAACTTCTATAAAAATAGAAATATGGGATTGGAGTTAGCCATGGCCCATGAGTTAGCCATGAGGTCTCAATTATGGAGTTTTCTGTATTCTATTGAAGTCAAGTTTAGATTTTTCTAATTCAATTTCCTATTTTTCTCGTTTACTAATTTAATTATATATAATTCAATTTTTTCCTACCACAAGTTTTAAATCGGGAGTTGCAGGTTCATGTACTTTAACATCGAAGGATTTATCACTATACAAGATCGTTTTGTGGTTGGCAAATTTAGTTGCTCCGTCATTTGTTTCGATTTATTTTTAAGCGCCAAAATTGTGTTAGGCTTGATTTACTTTTGTTTGAAGCCATTCTTCAATCGATATATCATTTGGTCGAACTTATTGTTGATTGAAGTCTCATTTGATGTTTCTTGATCCACTTGAAAATAAGATGATAGATGACTTATGGTGTTAATTTTGGCCCAAGTTATAGCTCCTCCACTAATCATTGTTGTATGGATTTCGCTATGATGGAGACCAAAAAAATCATGATAACATCGATCTATGTCAAAATAGTCACCCATTGTTCTTCGTTAATTCGTTCATCCTTGGTACAAATTGCAACGTAGATGACATCCTGAATTGCGAGTGTGCTGCAAAACCTACAAAAATTCGAAAAGAAAGCATGAACAAACGAGTAAACGAGAACTAAATGCAAAAAAGAAAGATTTTTTGGTTATGAGAATTTTGAAAAAATAGTACAAACAAGTAAAAAAGAAGAACTAAACACTAGTGCAATAGCTCCCCGACAACTACGTCAAAATCACATTCATCGATGCAATCAAATTAACCTTAAAAGCACCAAATATGTAGGGCAAATATAATGGTCGAATGCACAATGACCTTATGGTTAGCAAGTAGTTCTAAAGTGATTAACAGTTGATGAAAACACAATTTGACAATGTTTGAAATCAATATAGGGAAAATGACTTAAAAACTCAACGAAGTTTCCAAACCGTTTAAAAAACCCCAATCATGTTTTGTCTGTTCAAAAAAACCCAACAAACTTAACATTTTATCTAAAAAATCCAACTAAGTTACACTTTCTCGAAAGTCAAATAAGAGAAACAGATGACGTGGCTTATTACCGTATCGGAAAAATGACTTGTTAGACCAACGAAGTTTCCAAAACGTTTAAAAAACTCCAATCATGTTTTGACTGTTCAAAAAAAACTCAACGAACTTAAACAAAACAAAATTGGAATTTTCTGAACAGTTTGAAACTTCGTTGGACTTTTTAGACAAAAGGTTAAGTTCGTTAGGTTTTTTTGAACAAACAAAACATGATTGGAGTTTTTTGAATGATTTGGAAACTTCGTTGGGCTTTTAAATCATTTTCCCATCAATATAATATCCCTTAGATAGAAAGATAGTGGTTGAGGAATGGAATTCTGAAGTCCAGGGTTCAAACCTAATAAACCCAAAATATTTTTAACGTTTCACGAATCACCTCCGACAGGGGCCTTAAGGCGGGTTTACATGGATTGCTCAGATGGTATGATTTACCATTTTTTTAAATCAAGATTACAAGAAGTGATCGTTCGCGCTTTTAATTTTGATTACTAAGATTGTATTGTACCAAGTGTTATTGTTTTTGTGTTTATTTAGACTACATAGACATGACTATACTAGTTTATGTTTCAATATGGGATCAAACTATATACATCTATGCCCTCTCTCTTGCACATCTATTTTGGCACTGTGTGGGAGACCATAATAGGATTGTCTTACATATAAAGCAATCTTTTATTTTAGAAAAAATGATGGAAAATATTAATCAATTAAACAGAAAACAACTTAAATACTTTGTCTATGAATATAAAATGTTCAACCTTAATGTAATACTAGAAAAGAAATCAAAACTTACTTACAGTCAGGAGGAATTAAATGCTTATAATTGGTGTAGATAAAGACATTATGTTGATGACGGATACGCTTCCAAAGGCGACTTGAACTTCAAAGAATTATAAAATTTTATTGGAATAAGGCTTTGATATTGACCCAAGATGGGTTGGAAGTGTTAAGGGAAGGATTTGGGGACCCATTGAGGTTGTTAAAACTAGGGAAAAGCATCCTGGGATTGATGAAAAACAATGACACAAACTTCCCTTCTTATAAAGCTTCTTAACTATGATAAGTATGGTCTCATGGTAGCGGTGTCTTTGGAGACGTCCCATGGTGTTCGGTACGACATTAGATGGTGTCTTTTTCATGCTTTATGATGTTTTTGATTTTACTCTAAAAAATGCTACAAGGACTTTGGTCGTTCGACATGGTGTCCTAGGACGCTATCTAGGATTTTTGTACCTAATTCTTGTTACATCAAATGTTTGTTCTCACCAAAAATCCCCAAAGGACTGTGTGTCCTTACAAATATCCTACGACGCTGCCTAGGATGTTGATAGGTTAAAGACATTTTCCTCAACACGTTGTCCTTACAAATATCAAATGTTTGTTGAATTTGACTATGACCAAATATGAGTAAGACACCCTTAACACGTTGTTTTGGTCTTTGGGCTACAACTGTGTGTCTATTCATCTTTTTGATGTGTCGTTTTCACCAAATTCATCCATATCTTGTATTTTACATGTATATTCAACAATTCCATAATATTACGGTGTCACACCCCATTTTTTAAAATATAATTTATAATTTTATTTTATATAACATAAGGATCAAAGATTAGAGAGAACATTTACAAAAGTAGAGTGTAAGAAAAAAGGGAAATAATTTGTAGCAACCACATACAAAAGTTATAATACAAAATACATGTAACAAAACCCGGTTACAAGTTGTACGTGCAAAAGTAAAATTAGGACAATACATCCTCCTAACTTCTTATTCTCACGATCTTACATTCCATATACCCGTGACATCCCTACGATTACCTGAACACAATAAGAAACACAATAAGGAATTCTGAAAACAAATCATAACCATTTGTTTATATTTTGTTTCCCGATTTAAACGTCGGGTCATATTTAGTAATGAGATGTCAAGTTTCTCTAGCATAACATCAGGTCATATTATTTACCATAGGCACCAACACCGTAACGAGCATAAATTCGGGCTAGTCAATTTAATAATAATAAGCGTTAATAATGACTTTTTGATAGAAGATTATTCAGGAAAAATAATCTTAACAAAAGTTATAATATATTTGACAATGATTTTGTACATATAAAGAACATTGAAATCCGATTTCGTATGAAAAAGTTATGCTTCTTCGAATTTTCGTAATTAAACCGATACAACTCTGTGAATCGTAAAAAGTGAATTTTTGATAAATTACTTTTTTGCCTATAAAGTATAAACGGAAGTCGTAGTTGTCATTAAACGGAGAGTGTAATATAAAGAACGTCTAAATCTGATTTTGTGAGAGAAAGTTATAATTTTTTAAAGATTCAGCGTCGCGGTATACAATTTAGAAATCGAATTTTAGATCAATCGATTTTAAGCCGAAATGATCTAAATGAGAATTGAATATATCTTTAAAAGGAGTTCAACGATATAAAGACA